TGGGTCTGTGATCAAGTCGGAGAGAGACCTGAGTGAAAAAGTCGGCATACCAATCCACAGCGTCACCTTTGTTCGGTACGAAGCGGACAACTACGACACCTCGTCCTTCGCTACCGTCGTCAAATGAACCGAGGCCTTTCTCGCCAGCTTCCGTTTTAACGTAGAGAACGAAGTCGTCCACTGTTGTTGACTTTGGATCGACCTTTGTGTATAGAGCCTTGCCCTTGCCGTTGGTGATAGGCGCCAGAAGATTATCGAACTGTCCCTTGTCGTAGAAAATAAAGGTATACCCCTCAAAGATTTCCAAGCGGGCCTCGTCCGGCGCATACGCGGATGGAGGCCTTTCGACAGGCTCGCCACCGCGAGGAGGCAGATGATTCAACGGATCTGGCCAGTTGCCATCAAAGTCCGTTTCCAAAGCAGAGGATGCAGTAATGTCGTCGTCTTCTGGAGGTGTCGCGGCCGCGACAATGGCGTCCACGAAGGAGTCTGCAACGATGTACCTTCCGTTGATCAGCGCCTGCAATCCCTTGGAAGTGTTGCGCTTCTTTGTGACAACGTGTGTTGTATGCTGAATGTTATAATCCGCCAACAACTTCACGTCGAGCTGCTCAAGGTCGACACGCAGTCGCGAAAAGGGGTCGGACTGCATTTCTCGGCTTGAGAAGCTGAACGTGAGCGCCACAGGTTGCCAGGTCAAACTAGAAGATCGTCAGCAAGCTTCCCGCATCTTCGAACGACAAGACCCTTACCGGAACATGTCAGGGCAGCCACCCATCTTAATCTCTGCTGAAGCTGCGGCCACGACATGCTTCTCGCCCTTGTATTTGTGCCCGTCTACAGTCGTCCCGGTCTTGGTGCCCAAGTCTTCGATTGTGACGGTCGATCGGCGGGAGAGATGTTGCTAGGAAGATATTCAGCTATTGCACTAGCCAATCGTATTACGCCTACGTACGCTATCGCCGTCGGACACATTGTCGACCTCGATGGTCAGATGTTTGCGCGAGATGGTCTTATGAGAGATGGCCAGTTGTCCGGCTGCAAACCGTCAGTGAAGTTCGTGCAAGGTGTTCAACCAGTCATAAACCATACGTTCCGAGTCCGTTCGGCCGAAGAGATATCGTTTGCCTGGCCGGAGCCAAAGCCGTCGCCCTAGACATCAATCGCGTCAGCATCTCGCACAATTAGTGGGGTAGATTAAGATGTACCTTCGAAGACATTACCGTCAGTCTCTAATAGCCACATTACGACCTGTCTACGGAGGAAAGTGCCGCGGACTGGCGCGCGGTCCGGGTGCTGGCTTTGAAGCCGAGAATGGTGCGCAATGCGACGGGGTGGAGTTGGGGTAGAGGATGGGTGAAGGTCGTGTGCCCACACGCGTTCCATCGCGGGAAAGTGACGCCGGATCACGTGTCCACTTTCAGGCAACAACCACACCCCCTTTGAGCTTCCCTTTCGGTCTTCGCAATATCAGTCAAATACCTCTTGCATGCATTTGAGATTAATCCAAAGGATTGTGAATTAGCTTAGACGAAATTTGGCTCAATGGGTGTGGATCAAGGCTCGACAACATTCACCAATAGACCAAGGTTACGCGGGTATCAAGTCTGGTTCACAATGTGATGGGATCTTCAATGTTACTAGATCTTCGTCTCCTTACAACATCTACATCATCTTGCGGATATTATTGCTTGGCTTTGACGCCTGTCACCAAGGCTGTTGAATCGCCATCGCTGACCATGATACCCAGGATCCAACAGTTAACGAGGAAGAATCCTACGGATGACGCGAATAAGCCTGGGAAGAAGGTGCTAATGCCCAAGAACTCTAGATTGAAGCCCTGCTGTAACCAAGCAGCCTGGGACACAATCCACAGGCCCAAAGCAGTCGCCCCGAGCTTCGGGTTCGTGAGAAACGTTGAGCCGGGGAGGTAAATGGGCAGGAAGACCATGTACCACAAGAAATACTGCTCGAATGTTAGCCACAGCTTGTGAGACCGACTGAGTGGCAGCTTGCTCTTACCTGGCTTGTACAGACTTTGTTGAAGGTCACGAAAGCAAAGGTCTGAGCCATCATCGAAGTTGCAAGGTCCCTCTTTGCTAAGATGACCGGAATGAGCACTGTTGACAGCAGGATCTGTGGGAGAAAGGCGATAGATTCAATGCGGATGGTAGCTGTGGACGGGAAAGCGGACGTCAAATACAATAGCACGTTGTAAGGGCTGAAGTTGTGCCTGTGGTCGATCCTGGTGACGTGGTGGAAGTAGGTGTGCACCAAGAATGGCGTGCCATAGCTGTGAGGCGGTTAGCACTGCCCGGAATAGCCAGCCACTTGGGTTTTTACATAGAATACATGGCAATGTTGAGTCCCATGAAGGTCGTGAGACTGACGGCGGCCAACTTGACTCTCTCAGCATTGACAAACTTGACCAAGGCTTCGCCAATAGTCTGCGTCTGGGCGGGATCTGCCCCCTTTCGGCCGAGCATCTCCTCATCCATCCACCACACAATTGCTGGCGCATAGATGAATGGATAGATCTTGAAGTGGACTCCGAAGCCAAGCAACAGCCCCGCCAGCGTTGTCCGTCTTTCGAGCACAGCCCAAAGCAGCGCCATGACCAACACACCCAGGAGTCCCTCCGAGCTCCCACGGGTGCTGATCGTTGCGACCATGGGGTTCAGCAGCCAGATACTGGCAAACTTCAGTGCTCTCCCCATCTCCACGCCACGTCTCTCGAGAATGCGCACGATCAAGAACCCGGCCAGCAAGTCAGCGACCGCGAAAACGACCTTGCCCAATGAGAACCATCCTTGCCACGCCGTAGGCACAAGCATCCAGGCCAAAAGTGGCGTGTAGCGGTAAGTTTCGCGATCGTAGGGTGAGCGCCCTTGAGCAGTGAAGCGAGCGGCATCGGTGAAGACCAGATAGTCAATATCGGTGTACTTGACGGCGGAGTTGGCGTCCTGCCACAGGCCGTAGTATAGCATCGCCACACGGAGGAGCGCCGCGGCGCCGAAGAGCGGCACGGGCCGGAAGAACGCGTCGAGGCCGGCCATGCTGGAATATGAATCGGGTGAGATGTGTCTCGCCGCAGAATTGTCGGCTATCTAATCAGACGGTATTATTCGAGCGGAGTTACCCAGAAAGCCATTGAATATGCCCGGAAAGAAACGGTGCGCTGAAGCGAATGTGAGTTTCGGGGGTTGAAGCTTCAAATCCCCATGTTGCCATGATGGGAAATTTGAGTGACGTGGGCAAAACCGGCCAGCCCCTGGGCCCAGAAGCCCAGATGAGTGTGCTGGGCCCACGCCCCGGGTGCTCCATCTGCCGACCCCACTAAATTCAATTCTGACCCTGCACAACCTCGAACATCACTTCGAGTCACTGACTTCATCGACGGCCTCACTTTTTCCCGACCTCGCATCTCACCAACACCGTCTAATTGTTGCAGTAATTCAGGATGTCTAAGCGCGACCGGGATGGCAACATGCGGACTCATGAATCCAAACCGAAGCCGGCTGCGCCCGAGTCTCAATTCACCCCCATGTTCATGAAATTCCGCGATGAGCTAGACCAGCACCACGATCGTAGGGAGCGCATTGTCAAGGCATCGAGAGACGTCACCGCGTTGAGCAAGAAGATGTGAGCATTCAGCTATTCGTCTGGAATGGGACTTGACTAACAGGGATGCAGCATTTTCACCTGCCAAAGGTGACTCCCACCGATCTCACCTTGTTCTCATGCCGTCTACTAATACTGGGCCAGAGTCAACAAGTTGGGCGACCTTCCAAACTTCGCCAACAAGGAGATCGAAACGCGCATGGGCGAGATTCAGAAGCATCTCGCCGCCATTGAGAACGACATCCAAGGCGTCAACCGCTACCGCTATGCCCACTCTCTCCGCTGCCTAGAGGAGCTCGTTGAGGCCCTTTCCTTCTCCCACTACCTCCGAAACCAGACCCTCATCAGCGAGGAAGAGACAGCAGCGGCAGTCCCAGCCAACGTCTCAATCACCGAAAACGACTACATGTTTGGTCTCTTTGACCTCTTTGGCGAGATGATGCGTTTCGCTACGGTGACCACTGCCCAGACGGGTCAGCTGGCCGGCATAGAGGGCCGCAACATTCTGATGGATATCCATGAGCTGAGCAGCTGCTTCGAGATTCTTCCAGAGATTCCGACAAGAGACTTCAGGGGCAAAATGGAGGTGATGCGACAGTCAGTGCGCAAGGTAGAGAAGCTGGGCTATGGCTTGGCGATCCGGGGAACGGAACGGCCAAAAGGCTGGGTGCCTGACATGAAGGAGGACTTCGATCCTTCTTCTTTGGAATGACGTCGATAAATGTAGTACTGAACTATAGGGTATTACGGCGGTTGGCATGGCCAAGGAGAGGTAGCTGAATATGTAGAACAGAATTCTGTAAACATGGAGAGCATCGCTCGTCTCATTTGACAAGATTTAAGGGGCTAGCTTGACCGAAGCCCTATTACTCCGTCCACTGCGATGCAGATAATCTTTGCGCACTTACCTAGAAGAGATATTTGGGCAACTTTCCAAGTTGTACGCCGACTACCTTGCGACGACTCCTCTGTCGAGATTTTGGTTTGCGATCTCCTACACTGTCGTGCCTATCTTTCAATTAGTTGGGCTCCAATATCTTAATTTCCTTTCGATTCAGTCTCCAATAGAAACCTTCACTTATCACGTTTTGCGAGCGGCAAGTTCGAGCTCTGTGAAGCATTGCGACTCGCAAGTTGTGCAGAAGTACAAAGTAGAAGTTAGTGGGATAGTCGATTGCTAGCCGAAGCCTCTAGTCAGTTAAGCTTCACACAGGTTTTCGAGAAGACATTTGTACGGAAATCTACCGCGATGGGTATCCTCGGATTTGCAGTCTCGTACCGTATCGTACGTTCCAAGCCTAAGCTCATACTACGCACTAAAAACACGAAATCGTTCGAACGTCGAAAGAAAAGTATTGGCTATTGGAAACCCATCGAGGATGTCACACGTGGACCGAATTACTGGAAGAGTAACACCTCTTCCCTCACTCCCGGGTGCTGAGATTGAAGCCGAGGTCATTGCCAGATTACAATCCGCTAATTTGGCCCTGACTGGATCTGACGCAACGAAAGAAGCCATTCTCTTTAACATTCACCAATATGACATCTTGCACCTAGCCACTCACGACTACTTTTCGGAGGAGTTCTCAACACTCTCAGAAATATCTGTTGCTAACGGAAAGTGCATCTCTGTTGAAGGCTTCTCTGACGCAGGCATGGATCATGAGCTCGTTGTTATGAGCCCCTGTCACACTGGAGGAGTGTCTTATGCCGGTGGTGGGAGTACCGCAGGATTTGCTACAAGTCTGATTGCTTCTGGCGTGAGAAATGTGTTAGTCACTTTGTGGCCTATCAATGACAACATTACAGTCATTTTTATGAGACGCTTCTATGAAAGCCTCGCATCGGGTCAGTCACTGAGAGAAGCCTTGAAGGCAGCTCAGTCAGCTATGTTTCAGGCGCTTCCGCGGGCAGTCGAGATAGAGTTGGCCGAAATAAGGGATTTACTTGGGAATGGCGAAAAGCAGGATACTGAGAGAATCATAGCACCGCTTGGAGGCAAAAAGGGTCATCTGAACTATTCTCAGCCGACATATTGGGCGGCTTTCGTTCTGATGGGGGCTGACTTGAACGTTTCTGAGAGCCCCGAGGAGCACCATCCAGAGTCGGGTAGCAACACAGAACACCGGCATAGACCTGTGTATTATAGAGGTGGTCCAAGGATTATAGGTGTGCAGTGGAGTTAGGGATGGAGAGTTAAGACCAGAGCACTATCTGATTCACCTGAGAGGATTACAGCAGCGGGAGAAATCAGAATGGATTTTACTCAGTATCTGGGAGGTGCTTTTTGGCTCTCCGATATACCCCATCGACTGCGAGTCGACATTAGTACAAGCAGGTTCACTTCTTCTTTAACTCAATAATACCTCAAGTGAGTTGTCGAACGAAGAAAACTGCGGGAATAGGGTCGGATGAATGTATAACTACCTAGCCTTTACTTTTTCCGATAAGAAGATCCATCACAACAATCCCAAACTACCTAGAGAATATTCTCAATGATAGTCGAAACGTATTCGTGATCCAACGTGAAGATGACTTGGATGACAACTCGGATGATGAAAGCTGGCTGTTGGCCTGATTTTACCTGATATCGTTGTAGGAGGAACTATAACAAACAGTAAAACCTGGTAAAGCCCACCCATCTTAGGACTACGTCGTTCCGCTGTTTTTACCACACATGCCGATTACATGATATGTAAGCGTAAGACTGTCTTTGAGGTGCTTCTCCATGGATCTTGCATTTTCATGAGCTTAGCCCATTTATCCTCCGAATCTTCCACTTCAATACTGGCTTCGCTGAGTTACTGAAACCTTCACCGGAAAAAAAAGGAAAATATTGCCCTCCGTGGCATGTTTTCAAATAACATTAGAATTGACTTGACCTCATGTCCTGATAAGCATTACCGATTCCGCGTCTACTAACCCCGTCTCTAAGTGAAACAGACGAGAGCGTCTACTTAAGCTAGACATTGAGGCGTGCCAAACTCCTTAAGGACTTGGAGTGAGGACTGAAATCGGCCAGCGAGAAGGCCCGTAAGACCGACCTAACGAAACAAACTCCCACAAAATGCCTTGATTCACAAGCTTGACCCACCCTCACATATGTGACAACCCAGCACCAAACATCGATGGTTAGGCCTATGCACGATAGCTCACAAAGCCAGATCGTCTTTAGGCCTCAAGCGCTCTGGGAACCTCCAAGCGAAGAGCACCGTGACGAGATACATAAGAAGGGAGTCGAAAACGTAAAGTGTCCATTCGTGGGAAAGAGAGTAACCCGTATATCCCTGAGCGAACTCGACAACTCTGAAGATTGATCGAACCATGATGAGCAGACTGACGGCATAAAGCATGTAAAGGCTCTGTTCCCATGGGATTAGGCCGTCCAGGGAGTCGGGAGTGGGTGCTTGTCTCATTCTGCGGTGGAAGACGACGGCGATAGCACAGAAGAGGCCAAACATGATGATCTGGACAACAAGGCCGATGATGACGATCCTCTCACCCCAAGTCGCGAGACCGGGCTTTTGGATCACCATCATACCTGAAGCGCCTCCCTGAATTAGGAAAGAAACCAGATCTCCAAGGACAAACGTCTTCGTCAATTTGGCTGGTCGGATCATCGAATATTTCTCGGCGTGGATACTCGTGATAATTCGACCGAGGATCATGTAGATTGAGGCGGCAAAGAGGACGGGTGCGATGATGATGAACATGTTCTGGATGGCGAACGTCATGATTCTGTCGGTCTTGTCGTGGGCGCTAGCGCGCGCTCCATATCCTATGACTTCAACTTACTGGGAGTCAGTACATCGAGGTTTATCAAGAGCCATTGCGCAACTTACAGAGGCATCCTACTGCAAAGACGATGCAGAAGCGAGCACGAGTCCTCCAGATCTTCCAGCTGATGTAGAGGAAAGACAATAGAAATATAATGAGAAATAGGATCGCCGCAGGTTTGCTCGGGAGATAGCGCCAAAGGTAGGCTCCTCCTTTGGTAGGCTTAACTCCTGGCACTGGCGCGAAGTAACCATCCGTAGACATGGCTGCAGGCTAACGAGCGTCTGGTGATTCGGATCAGAATGTACGAAGAATTACGAGAAACTTCGGCAAGAATGGCGAGCAATGTTGAGGGAGACTGCCGTCAGAAAGGACTATCTGGGAATTCGAGAAAGCAAAGAAATGGACGGGTATATGTACGCCGAGGAGCAAACGAAGCTGTCCACATTGTAAAGACATGCCAGTACCCAAAAGAGACATCCGAGCTCCACAAAGTCTAGACAAATCTAAGCCTCATTAGCTCCGTGTTTGCATATTTTTTTCTACTCTATGCCAGGCCGTGAATGCTCGGATAGAGTTGCGGTTGAACGGGTTCGGATCGCTTGGGGTGTGGGGCATACGGACCCGAGTCGGGTGGTAAAGAATACGCGGAACAAAGCATCAACCCGAGCAGCTTACCCGAGGGTTTACAGCTCGGGTCAATAACGCGCATACGCTCATTTCGACAATTCAATAATATATCTCCCCAAAAAGAATCTCTTATCATAATGCAGCCTTGGCTTTTGCAAACGCGTGAGCAGTGTGAAGGGAAGAACGGCAAAACCGCTGCCAACATGAAGCAACCTCGCTGAGAAAACACGCCTTCGCTATTTCTTGGTGCCGGAGACTTCTACCGTCTGCTTTATTGCAGCACTTGCAAAGTTTCACCTTCAAAATGAGGCTAAGAGCATCAAATCACCAAAATCTGTATCAAAATGTGATACCTATGCTGATGATCTGAATCTCCAGGTCAGTTAATGACATCAGCAGCATCTAGATCGCTACTTCTCCTCCAGTGTAAATGGGCGAAAACGAAGAGAATATATAATACTGAGCGTTTTCGTTCTCTTCCAAGACCCATGAGCCCGGAAATTTCCAATCAGATCCTGGGCATCACGGACACCCATTGCACAAGGGGTCATGTGCAAGAATGAGGCCACTGATCGAGAGTACGAGATCCAAAAAGAACCAGACTTTTTGCCTTGAATTCGGTGCATGAAACTCAGATGCTAATAACATATGATTTGAGACTCAAGTATGACATCCTCAAAAATTAACATTATTTCCGAGACTACATAAGTTTTTATTAGTGTCGTTCTAAGCGCCGGAGTGGGCAGGAAGTTCCAGTTGATTTGCCCCAGGGGCTTCCTTGACTCTTTGAGGGGTCTGACCGAACATCATTGTATTCAGCGTTGTAATATAATGAGATGTCGAAGGCTCTCTACTGAATTGGTGGTCTGTTTGGACATTCGCAGTCTGGAAGGGTGAATGTACATACGAGGCAAGGGCAGTCGGCAACTTCGCGACACAATACCTAGGCTACTACACATCTGCAGAACCTGTGGTATTGCGGTAAGTGTTGTATGGGCAGGTGGTCAATTGATTGATGTTTTAATTGGCCTGGGGACGTTTGATATCATTGGTTGAAACTGTCGGAGATTAGCTACTATCGGATGAAGATGCAAACAGCAAGGGAGCTAATGCAAACGTGTAGGTAGGACCGTATCGAGGATGTTGAGAGCCGGCGAGCCGTCTAGTGTTTGCCACTCCGAAGCCTGCATGAGATAGCCGAGGAGAACCCCGCATCACGGATGTAAGGCCACCAAGAGGGATCCATCTATCGACTCTGCATCCTCATCCCAACAATGGCAAATTTCGAGCAAGAGAACATTCTGCGAGGATGATTGATATCACTGTTTCTGGAACCCATCGAGAGGTGAGTGATGCGCCTGACTGCTTTTTTATGTGCCTGAGAAGCTCACCTCCGTGTCAACGCAGATCGGCTTTGCTGTAGGTCATCAGGCTGCGAAGCAAGTTGCTGGGTCAATTGCCTTCTACCGTTATTTTTTCAAAGACTTCAGCGGGTTAGAGTGGTCCACAGTACAGGTGAAGACCCGAGAGTTTGTGCCACACCTCAAAGCCAAGTTTCCCTCATACTATGAAGAGATCGAAGGGATAGCGGAAGGTGCTGCCGTGGACGTTCTGGATGTTGTTGCATTGAACATACGAAGCGAGATCGCTTTTGGTCTCTTCGAAACGGAACCGACAAGACCCACGTCAACTACATCAGTTGAAATGGCAGTGGACGGATGCACTGCACTAGGCTGGAAGACTCCTGGAGGGTCTACATTTCTCTCACAGAACTGGGACTGGAAGAACGAGCAAAAACCAAATTTGATCATCGTTCGCGCCAAACCGCATGGTGGGCCCGGCATCGATCTGCCAGCTTTCCAAATGATCACTGAAGCAGGAATCATTGGGAAAATTGGATTCAACGAGCACGGTGTGGGATGTCTCCTTAATGGGATCCGCGCGAAGGGCGTCAACTCAGAGCGTATGCCAACCCACTTTGCTCTGCGGACCATTCTGGAATCCAGGTCAAAAAGAGAGGCCCTGGAAAAGATAAAGAGCGTGGGGTTAGCTGGAAGCAGTCACATTCTTCTCGGCGACCACTCAGGCCCTACTGGCCTCGAGTGTACCAGCATTGGGTTTAGGGAGCTGCCGGCTGATGAGAATGGTCGTGTCGTTCATGCCAATAACTTGATATTGGATCATGAGGGCGTCCTTGAGCCACTCTGGCTTGTAGATTCACCGAAACGTACTGCCCGTATGAGGGAGCTAGCAACGCTAGATGTTGGCGAGAACGCCGGCTTCAAGTCATTGCTAGAGCTTTTCAAGGATGAACAAAACTTCCCAAGCTCCATCAACCGGAAGCAAATCGGAAAGGATGATTCTGGTACTCTTTTCAATGTGGTGTTTGACCTCACCGAAAGAAAGGGCATTATTTCCATTGGTCGGACGACGGAGATTGAGGAGCAGATCGAAATTGGATTCTAATGTCGTATTCTGAACGTGCTATGAATTTACTTATAGGTTCTCTGGCCAGTATGCCTTGGCTTGTGTTCTGTTTACCAACATGAAAAAAGGAATAGACTTTGGCGACACTTCGTGTCACTTTAAATACGTAATCGTGGATCGCGTCAAAATTTCGAGAACTATTGCAAATACCATCAAAAGTCACAGTGGTTTGAAGTTGCGCATGGGATGCAAGCTCACAATTCTCGTTGTTCAACGTATCGACGATTACAGATTTCGTTTTACGTACATATTCTTAATTGGACACCCACGCTGGGCACGTCAAGTTCAAGAATCACAGTTCAATGACAGACCAGGAGTTTACTAACGTAAAAGGATGGCATGATCACCCTCGAATGTTGACGTAAGGAACGAAGCCATCACTCGAGTAGCAAGCCGGCGTAAAGTAGACTTGTACAAATCACGTGTCGGCGTACTGTAATTGCAATATTGTGTATTTGGTAACACCTAGATCAGAGACGATAAGGACGAAACATCGGTACGCACTGCTAACAATGAAGAACATGATCATCCTCGAGTTTCACTTTCATCTGCTCGGGTTGTGTCAACACAATCAAGATGCTCCTTGTCTCTCGATTCAGCATGCCTTTCTGACAGGCCTCTCGTTCTTTCGAGACGCTGAGTCGTGCCATGACCTTTCTCTACCGATGTTAACGCCTACAGTTCCACCTCACATTCACATTGGTGCTACGGCCGTTCGAGGAGACTTGAATACGAGACGTCCGCTGAAGAGATCTGGGCGGATCGCCACGGAAATCGCAGACTTGCCGCACCGAGTTGCCTCCCTTGGAGTTCCCGCCGGCGCTGCGGCACTGCTGCTTTGCTTGCTTTGCGAAGCTTGAATCGAAACGACTGTCAAAGTTGGACCGTGGTTCCACAGTACAGGTGCTTGCGTAAACGCTGGTAGCACCCAAAAGGAAGAACCAGACCAGGAAGTTGAAGTTCACTGACGTGTGTTAGTACTAAACGGTAAGGAACAAGGCATTGCCTTACTATTGAATTCGAAAAAGAGCCGCAATTATATGTTGTAGTGCCTGAATTATGCGTTGATGTGCTGACGAGCTGATTGTTGGTCAGAAGGAGAGAGGGAACGGAAATTTATATGTGTAGAATTAGTACCCAGGTCGTCGATGGAGAGCCGGCTATGTTTTACATGGCAAGGGCTGCGTAGAATTCAAAATCCGCGTTTGGTCACGCCCGATTGGGAGCTTTGCTACCCATCATCATGTTTTCCAGAAGCTGTTTCCTTGACCTGGTCCTGAGTGGCCAGTCCGGCCTATCCAGTAATCAGATCCGTGACACAGGATTGGCCATCATGATCGGTTTCGTGTTCGAGACGACCGGATAGGCAAAGCTTAACCATGCCGCCAAAACGGGAACTTAGCCTTCGCGGCGGTCACAATAACTTCTTGCCAAGCCGCTATCGGTAATTGGTCACAAGCTGCGACACGCGCGAGGAGAGCATACCTGATGAACAAGGCTATTGAATAATCGACATCCCGTCGTCTAAGAACTAGCTGGGAAGGCGGAAGAGAGGATTAAGCTTGGTGAATTGGCATGTTTCGTCGCAGTGTCGTGACAGGATTCCTTTGGAGTTTCTTCGCGTTTGAAGTGAACCGCACCATCGCTGCAGGCGCGGGTGCTGCCTCCGTTACATCGTCTTAAATGTACCGCGCCTGTGGGAGACTTCGGCATTGTGGTCTGGGGAAAGAATCTCATGCATTTTACGCGTTAACAGCAAGAAGACCTCAGTGTCACCGAACCATTAAAGCCTGGGTAGTCTGTCCATTTACAGCTGACCCGGATCGTCAACGAATGTTGTTCGAGATCTTGCCCCTGCTATCATGTGGGAAACATGGAGTCGTCGCGCGGTCAAACCAAAAGTGTTCTCCCAATTGAGGTTTGAATCGGACTCTTGGCAGCTGAAGCTCCGCCCATTGTCTTGGATTTGACTGACATATAATTAGTGATCTACGAACCATAAGATCGCAATATACCCCGCGGTGGTGTGGTGACGCGCTAGCAAGCCAGCTACGGGTCCCTCCGGATCGACAGTCAAGATCGGAGAAAAAACTCTCTCTTGGCTCGATTCCTGCAAACCCTCCCGGCTCACCCAGTTCCGTCAATGGTCCGGCCGTAGTGCGACTCGTGCTGTAGCCACGCCTGTAAACCTTTACTTTGAGAGTTCCCCATGTCCAAGAACGGGACGAATGCCAACGGCTAGAAGCTACTCTGGCAGAGGCCGAGCGGGAAGTTCGATGCGGGTTGGCATTTCGACAGTGCCGATCAACGGCCGGCCGGTGCGCCTCGAAACAAACTCACGTCAAAACTAGGGGCCTCCTGGGAAGAGCATACTTAGAGTTCTGAATGGCGGGGCTTACGCGCTTCAACGATAAACGCAACCTCGTGCACTTATCTGCCCTCGTGGTCGTGATCGGCATTTCTTGCTGCTACGGAAAGTTCGGATCAGATAGTAGAGGTGAGAAAAGCGTAGCCGGCGCCGCAAGGTTGATTAATGGGATTCCGCCCCTGAGTCCCGGCTTGAGTTGCCTCCACAGAATTCAGGGTCCAATTATAGAGCATCCCGACTACGAGACAATCGTGATGTAACGCAAGCTTTACCCTCTTCCACTCGGCGGGCGCGCCAGCAGTGAGTTCTCTTGGCAGAGAGCAGAGTTCCAAAGTCACGATCGCTCTGCGTCGAGCACCAAGGCACAGGGCTCAGAGGGAACTTCCACGACGGGACAGCCCCTCCGCTTCGTCCACGCAGGAACACGACTCATACGAATTTTACATGAGGCAATATCCAAGTTCGAGGTGCGTGGTTTCAAATACTCAAATCATATTTGATCTTGGCGATAACTCGATGAAAGTAAAGCAAATACAGACTGATGATCCGCAATGACCTTCCTACGATTCCGAGCTGCTTTCTTGAACAAAAGACCGACCAGCTGCTCTTCTTCGTGTTACGTTAAGCTTTAATCTCGAGATTTTAGTCTCAATAACAATATCACGATCAGATCATCTAGACTATAATCTTCAGAAACTTACCGAGGTGAAAGGGAGCTCCCTGGATCCGCATTTACAAAAGAGAACATTTGCAAAAGAGATGACTCGACAACTGATTGACCCGAGTGGATGGCAAGAAACGAAGCCACTTAGATATGCTACGTATTGGTCTATGCTGGTTTCCAATTTCATGCCCTAGCGAAAATCCAGAGAGGAAAGTGGATACCATGAGATGGATCAGAGTAGCGTTTGTTATGAGCTAATGCCACTTAATCTGTCTACATTATGTATAGACTGGAATAAAGCTCAATTCAGCCCTGAAAGCCATAGTCGAATTGGATAGTCGAAAATTGGATGGTGGTGTTATCTAGGGGTGATGTTTTCGGCGCGCGGCACTTGGCCTGCGTACATATGCGATCTCAGTGGCATTATGGTCGCATCCGAGAGAAGAACAGTATGTTACCTGCCAGAGCATCTGTCGCGGCTGTTGCTGCTGGTTGTCTCGAAGGATTCATAAATGACAGCCCCTTAAAAAGCGCAAGCACGGCGTGAAGCTTATATCAGGTGAACGCAACAGCGTTTGCGAAACTCGAGTTGCCTTATCTTCGGACTGCCTCCGTGTACCGCTCCCCGGAAAATCCCGGAAGGCGGCAGAAGCTCCACATCTGCGGCGGCGGCGGCGGCGGCTAGTACCGTTCAGTTCGGGACACAAGCTTGTTTCCGGGGGTTTTGCTCGGCGGGTGCAACATGAGATCCGCAGGGTATCCGGGCAGCATAGAGCCGATAGCCTTGAGCTTCGCTCTCTGTCTCGTACTTCTGTATTTGACTTTCCGGCTTTCCCAACGAGTTCAGTAAAATGGGACTAAATGCCCTCAACGGCCATCTCTCAGCTATTCAAACAACAATTTGCTTCCAGATAACCTTCGCACGCGCGTAATTTCACCGATTTTGGAGGGTCCGCACAGCTCTAGGTCTTTCTTTTCTCTTTCGGCAAGCTAATGACGGCAAGGGGGCCAAACCCGAGGTTCAGATGCGGAACATCAACATGGCTCAGGACGAGGCCGAAATCGTGTTTTGGGTGACTGGATACATGTCGTGGTACATGGACCGTGAAACAAATCAGAGCTCCGGCTTGGCAGCACGTATTCTGGCTTTGGAGAGGCCTCCTCTTTCTCGTATGTCTGAATTTCTAGTTCTACTTTCTTCGAAAAGCCTGCATGTGCTCTTTGACACACTCGAAGCTACTGCGGAGGAGAAATAAAGGGCAGATTGGGGTTGACATAGTTGTGACACTTCGACGTCTCGGCTGGAGCTTTCAGCTAACGAAGAGACTTAATCGGTAAGAATTGCGAACTATCAAATAATCGTTGCTAAGGAAGTGGCAGTCTGTAGTATGAGCTACCTCAAATATCACGAAGTCTGCAGAGAAGGAAGAGCTCGTCTGGGTTAGAGTTGAACCGCTCCAAGGCCCTGAACTCATGGTCCGGTGAAGCTAGAGCAAAATCGAAGTTTCGTACCAGAGATGAGATGAGCATGAGCTGCTCAAAGTAGGCAATGTTTCTGCCTATGCATGCTCGAGGTCCCGTACTGAATGGAAGGTGAACCTTAAGCATCTTCTCCTTATTTCCATCAATCCAGCGCTGAGGTCGGAATGGCTCAGCATCCTTGAAAGCCTCGACATCCCGCAGTAGAGTGTAGGTTGGGACTGATACAGTGACGCCCTCGCTCACGAACTGCCCTGCGATCACCCGACCGCCCTCCGGCACGACCCTAGGCAAGCCCATTGAGCTTGCCGGTCGAACGCGGAGGGATTCCTCAATGCAGGCTTTGAGGAACGGCAGCTGGCCGATGGCGTCGTAGCTCGGTACGGTATTCTGCACAATGATGGGGTCCAGTTCTTCTCGAAGTTGCTCGAGTACGTTAGGGTGGGTGTAGATGAGGTACACAGCGTTTGTTAGAGCGGCCGTAGTTGTTTCCGTGCCGGCATTCATCATGACCGAGCATTCCGCCAAAAGCTCGCCAAAGGGCAAGTTTACCGGCTCGCCCTTAGTCTTAGCCATCAACTGTTGGAATATATCCCCGTCCTTGTCTTTGGATGCGAAACGCGCCTTGGTGCAGTGCAAGATGATATTATCGAAGTCCGCGCCAGCCTTCTTGTAAGGATGCCATGAAAAGAACTTTCTGGTCAAGGGCAACAGACCGGCTTCCATTCCAAGGACGGTGTTGATGTGAGTGGCGTCTAGTAAAGACTGAATGAAGGGAACTTGATAGACCTTCCCACCCGGCGTTTCGGCGTTGACTATGTCGCTATTACGCTCCAAGCAGTTGGGTGAACTGCCATAGAGCATTGTCGAAAAAGCATCGATGGTGAAGTAGTTGAAATACCGGCGCATGTTGACTGGTCTCTCATCTTGCGCATGCTTTCTGAGTTGTGTCATCAAAGTGCGGATCGTTTCAGCAATGACGGGCTCTTGTTCCGATAATGACTTTTGCGCAAAGACATGAGCAAGTAATTTACGCTTCCTCTGATGCTTGGTCTTGATTCTTTCGTCCGACATATGACGGAACTCTCCGGCGCCTCCATCGTACCAAGCATCCTTGAGAATGTTGGCACCGTGGCCGTAAATATCATAGACAGCGCGAGGATCTGAGATGGAAACGTAGTTTGGACCAATGCGGACGTGCGTACCCAGCGTTTCATGAGCTTCGTGCACCACTATGAAGTGCCGATATCTCAAGCAGTGGAAGATGCGCCACGAGGATGAGATACCGGCAACTCCGGGGCTAGGAAAAATTCGAAGGCCTTTTCTGTCGACAAAGTAGTTTGTTATCGGTCCGCCGATAATGACCCAAAGGATCACAGCAGGGATGGCCGCATAGAATTTTAATCAGATAACTTGACGCAACGGACCACAGGTGTGGCTCACCAAGTAGCAGCAGCATGTTAAATCTTTCTCAAGGCTAATTGAATATTTGGAAAGCTCGATGACAATGAATCTTCCACAGTGGTTTCGCTTCATGATGATTCACTCTTATATCTGCGATTCACCTCAGCTATGATTTATACTTGAGCTTTCCAGTGCCTAAAACACCACTTACAAAGAGCATCCCCATCCTACGTACGTTCGTGAAATAGGAAATCCCGTCAATCCTGCATATTTTTAGTTTCCTACAGAACATTGTCGCTAAGCCATAAAGGTGACACGCCGACATTCGTCAGGCCGTAGGAGGCGGTTGGCGGTCGGCTCTCATCAGGCACCCCGATCGCGCTAATGTCGGACGGGCATTCCCATTGAGGAAATCCGTCCCAAGTCTGTCCATTCCAGATGTCTAGATTTCCCGACACCGAGCCAAGAGGACAACTGGCCAGGGAAAATGCCAGTTTACTCACCAGTACAAATTGGGCGGTGGCACTGCGTCACTTTTGTTAACCTTCATTCCCAGTCACCAATTGTCAGGTGGCAGCTCTTGTGACGAACTTGGCCAGTCTAAGACTGGGTGTTCGCCAGCGAAGTTTGAGAAAGTCGGGCGCTAATTGGTTCCGTAACGTACGTTTTTCGGGTTACCACTAATCTGGGCAGCGCGTACCATGACTCGAATCAGTAAATAGACATACTAGCATCAATATCACTGCGCTGGTACGCGAATGGTGCCAAAGCTGCCGCTACAGATGTTGCTACTACATTTATACAGCAAATTCCTGGTGCTCTGCCGTTAACGGGCCATTCGGCATACCCTTGCCTTTGTCTTCTGAGCTCATTTCTCCCGAGGATTCTCTTTCCGAGAATACATGACTCCTCCAAGCTCTGACGGGTATCCTTTCAGTGAAAAATCTCGAAATCTCCAAACTTGATCTACCTGCGGTTTCGCCCACACAAAACCATGTCCACAGTATGGAGAGACACGTCGTTCCAGCGTATACGAAGCCTACCATTGGACCTAGTCCAGCATCGTAGTATAAATAGGGCGCGGTGAACGAGACCACCCAGGTTGTCAGGTAAAAAATGACGATACTCGCAGACATGATCTTGTTCTGGTTGGGACCGACTGCCATTTCCCGAGCGACGGTGTACGCAAGGGGGCCAAGACCGAAGTTGAAACCAACTACGACGACAAAGGAAAACACTACAATGACGTATTGTGTCGAAGATGTAAGCGGCTTGACCGCCACGCCGCCGATAATGATGAAGGCCACCAGCATCATCAAGTTGGTGATCATGAGGTTGGTACGGCGGCGCACTTTGTTGACAGTGATTATAGAGGCGCCCACGGCGAAGATTTGAACAATGTTGGTGATCAGTTGAACGAGAAAAGGGTCGCCCAACCCGATTGCCTGTACGAATACAACACCATAAACGTAGAAAAACAGAATGCCGCAGATCTGCTGACTGAACATGGCTCCAGCCGAGTAGATCAACTTGCGTCTTTCGATGGGATCCGTTATCAGGGCTCCCCATGAAGAGAATTCGGCATGTTCCTCTTCGACATTTTTGGCATTTTCAGCTGTAGCCATATCCTCTGACGGGTCGTAGTTCGGGTTGCTCTGATTGATCTTGCGAAAACTTTGCTCGGCCTCTGTACGACGGCCCTTGAGAACGTACCACAGCGGGCTCTCTGGAATGAAGGGAAGAAGGGCGGCCATGATTAGAGGAAGAATGACAAGGCCTCCCATAGGAATACGGTATCCCAGAGAGCTTGCGATGCTCTTGGTGCCCTGGTTGATCGCGGATGCGCATAACTGAGACCAGGATTGGAGAAATTGGAAGCACATGAGTGCTGGTCCTCGGATGCCCAAGGGTGCAACTTCACCGATGTACAGCAATGAAGTGACGGTAAACTGGCCCACTCCAAGGCCAATCAAGATGCGTCCGACCACAAGTAGGGCTTCTGAGCTGATTGTGTCTGCGACTTGACAAATGCCGCCGATGAATATGCAGAATGAAGCCAGCCAGAACGTGGACTTTCGGCCGTAGCGATCATTGAGGGGAGCAGCAATCATTGCGCCAAGCAAGTCGCCAATGTAAATAGCGGAAGCTGTGAGAGACTGGAAAGACGAAGACAGAGCGAGCCTGCCGGTGGCATCACGGACGTCTCCGTAATCATTCTTGAACTCCTGCATGGCCAATACACCGTTGTAGTACGTATTGTCATATCCATAGCAGAGGGCTCCGATGGCTGATACAGCACAATAAAAGATTGCCCATTTATGATGTACCCAGGTGGTTCGTAGTGGCATTTTGAAGTCTGAAAACCGGACGTTTGGCCAGGATGACGGGTGTTTCGAAAGCAGTGGCGTACGGCAAGGGAGGAATGATAGAAGAAAGACAAGCTTAGACCACTAGGTATAGGGATGATAAACAGGTCGCCTGAAGAACTCAAACTAGACTTTTGGGAGCGGATCATGGTTTCAATTTAAGGAAATCCCATCCGGGGCATCTGGGGGGTTGCGGGGTGCAGGTCTGGGGAAAGTTGTTATTGTAGACGTTGGAGTAGTACAAGGATGTGGAGAGACTTGTACGATCCGGGGAGGCCGACCGTGCCTCCTGAGATTTACCAAATGCGGACGTCCGACGTGAAAGCCGCCGATCGAGCTTTCATGCGGCAATGCTTGCTAGTCGATACATGAGCCCCAAATCTGACGGGAAATCGGACTGATGAATAAGGTAAGTTCCAGTCGTCAAGTCATCGGGATGAGGTCTCGGACGACTGAGTCAAGCCTTCCATTCTGCGAGACTTCAGCACCACGATAGTAAATATGTTGTACATTGAGCTCGACGACTCGATCTATTTGTCAGCCTCGATCTTAGACTCCATGTAAGATTAAACAATCTAGACCTCTCCTGGTCTCGCACTCAGTGTGCAGAGCTGAAGGGATACCATAACGCGGTCAGTTTCTGGCTGGAACATGCAATTTGGCGCGCTGGCTGTGCCCAGACCGGCACTTTGATCTCTGTCCGCGGGGGCAATCACTATTACTACTCAGGCCTAGCCAGGATTGAAAGTGCTCCAGGCTTCTTCTGTCTTATCCCTGTGACCGACAGAAACTTCTCTTTCGGTTAGAAAGGGACTCTTCTCGCTGGCACGTTCGATTCCATACTCGAGCGGGGTCAAGAATGGAGTGGCCCCTGAGACCCTCATGGCCTCGAACACAGATAGCACGCCTATTTTTGGAGGCCACTTGATCTTACCCAAAGAAGCAGGTCAATGGCGGTGTCGGCAACATCACTTTGGGCGAGAGATCGCCTTGTGTAGGACCAAGTATGTAATATCGATTTTTTTACATATGTTCAGTGCCTTCTGTGCTTGATAGCCGAGGGATCTCTTCCATGCAGAGAGGCTGTGTCAGATACTTTATTTCTTGCACCTATGTCTACTGCATTCCGGTATGAGACTTTCGATTGAGGCATTGCCTCTACAAAAGAAAATCGACATTTGAGCAGCGGGCAGTACGTAGCACTTGGCGAAACAAGTAGTAGATGTTGATATTTCCATTAAGCCCCTAGTGACATGAAAGTTGCGTTATGGTCGGGTGCTTACTAGTACGAACTTCCAGGCAATCGGTCAAGCCGATCCTTAATAATGCGACCATCCCCATAAGCCGAAGCATCCCGATACCCAGAGTAAAGTTCATGCGCCCTGAAGTATGAAACTGTCTACCATGTCCGTCTCGATATGTCGGCGACTGCTGTATGCTTCTCTTACCCACAAATGCCGAAGCCAGACGGCAACGTGAGGAAACGCGAGTGCTGCTTCAATGCTTGTAAGAGTGGCTTGTGAAAGTGAGAATTAGAATTCATGGCCAAGATAAATCCATCTAGTCTTCAATAATTCAATAGTGGATGAGACAAAGTCACGGGCATTGCCTGTGACAATCCGTCGCAAAAGGGACCCGCTCCGCACATTCTTATAAATCAAGTGCGGACTTCCTACTTGGGCACCAGTTGTGAGGTTTATATCTCCTACGAAGTCAGTGCCAAGTAAACCAAACCCGCTATCTTTGCATGAGATTCAAGAGTAAGCATCCAACTTGGTACGTCAGTTGCGGACTTTGAGTAGTTTTAAGTTCAGTTCTAGTTGGCTTCTGTGCAAACTCCGCCTACCCAGTAGGTATAAAGAATGAGCAGGTTCAATGCGGTCATTATGTTATTTGACCGACGTATGGCCTTTTGACATCAAAAACTCCTAGAAATCATCATTAGTCTTCAGCTCACACAGCAAAGCCAACATGAAGGTGGCTCTTATAGGCGGGACAGGAGAGACGGGCAGCATCATTGTCAATGCTCTTCTTGAATCGGACATTCCAGCCTTGGTAGCGTTCTTTCTAATCTTATTGTTTATCTGATCCGGAAGACTAACTATCAGTGGTGATAGAAAATTATCGCCATTGTTCGACCTGCCTCTGAGAGGAAGCCTGATGTTGTCGCGCTTGAGAAGAGAGGAGTTGCCGTCGCCGTAGTTGATCTTGAGGGGCCAAGGGCTGAGCTCGTCATCGTTCTGGAGGGCGCCGACGTCCTGATCTCGACCATTCACGTCAGTGCGCTTGGCAGCCAGATTCCTCTTGCCGATGCCGCCAAGGCCGCAGGTGTAAAGCGATTCGTTCCTTGCTTCTTCGCCACCGTTGCGCCAGCCAAAGGTGTCTTGACGTTGCGCCAGCTGGTAAGGAGCTCCTGTCAGGCTGCAGGTCCATAACATTTGCGCTAACTGTGATCGGTGCACTGGCAAAGAAAGAGGAGGCTCTTCTTCACGCAAAGAAGATTCGGCTTCCGTACACAGTCATTGATGTCGGTTGGTGGTATCAGCTCAGCATTCCGCGCCTCCCGTCTGGACGCATTGATTCGGCTACCCCTTTGCCGGTTAACTTCATTGCTGGCGATGGCAACACTCTTTCTGCACTGACGGATGTGAGAGACGTTGGAAGGTTCACAGCGCGTATCATCGCTGATCCCCGTACCATCAACAAGATGGTCTTCGTCTATGGCGACATTCTCTCACAGAATCAGATTTTCAATATGTTGGATGAGATGAGTGGCAAGACTACTAAACGAGAATATGCAAGTATCTCTCAAACGCAGAGCATTAATTTGGAAGTTGGCTAATATGCCTTCTTTATAGATGTCTGCCGAAGCTATGGAAAACGCTATTGCTGCTGAGTCTTTGACGGCAGACGCCATCGAGAAGAGTGCTTTTGATAACAGGATGAAGATCTTTTACGAGTATTGGTACTCCATGGGAGTCCGCGGAGACAATACCCCAGAGTATGCCGAGTTTCTCGGGTACGTTGACGGCACTAAGTTGTACCCTGACTTTCAACCCATCACATTTGAGGCTTTCCTGAAGGAAGTCCTTGATGGAAAGTCGGTAGCTATCTATCGCACTCTTGAGAAAAATGTAGCCAAAGCCGAAAAGAAAGCTAAGGCTTGAAACTGTTCCTCGATCCAGCCACTAGCATTATTTACTATTTTATCATTTACTATTTTATGCATAATAATTGGATAAGTCCTTGGAATTATTTTTGGAGCGACATGGAAATAATCTTTCCGTACCTTCGCGACATGAGGAAAGTAACCGAGATTCGTAAATTCTGTTGAAGATCTTTGGTACCCTGATGAAATTCTTTTAAAAAAAAGTCTTAAGTTACGCAAAGAGCCAGCGTGATAGTCTTCCTGACGAAGCGAGGACTTGAACCACCTCAATCTCGGTATGCTATGGTGATGTCGAATAAATCTCTTTAGATGTCAGGTAATGCGAAGCATTGAGAGCGTTAACTAACACTATTATCTGCCCCTTCTCTGGTCTTTTACATGCTGTCCATTCAACACACCCAGCTCACATAAGCCAAAGGACCACAAGAGTAGCCAATAAAGTGGCGGGAAATATTATGATGAAGCCCCAGGGACGGATTGCTCCGCCTTTAACTTCCAGAGGTTGTCAGAATTTACAGTAGGCCGCTAAAGTTAGCCGGATGTAGGAGCCGAATCCACGCGGGGCAACGTCCAGGCTCCATGCCGCTCTAATCCCCGTGGTGGGGACACGGAAAGCCCCCTTTACCGCATGTCCATGCCCTCCGTAGGTGAACAACACGATGATCCTATGGGTTCATTGCTCCCTCTACATATGTTCCGTAACCTGGATACCTGGTCTCTGCGTTCTGGATTCGCTCGGTGCACTGCCGTTCTCCTTTCCAGTTTTAGGCAGTTTGCCACTGTTACGTCCAAGCTGCCCTCCGTACGATGAGTGAAATTGAATGCGAAGCCTCTTTTTAAGCTACTTGAATACCGAGATGTCATTTCCAGAAGATGGATCTTTCATGAAGACTTGGCGGAAGTTAGGCAAATATCATGTCAAACGACGAGAAGACCATAAAGGCTCAAGCCCCTTAGCATCCTGGAACAAGACACCAGGTGAGTTCAGGGTTTCGAAGTACCACGACAGACTATGGAATCCGCTGACTCTGCGAGAGGCCCCCTGGATCTTCATGTAAACCGAATACGCGACCTACCAGATGGAGTCGCTAGGCTTCAATTTTCAGCATACGCCTGTCAAACTTTGCCCCTGGCAAAAGAACCGCCTAATCGTAAGATGGTTCTGTCAGCACGTTGACCAATGGCAGCCTTCCTTGGGAAGCTTCGACGGCGGAAAACGAGTCTAGCCGAAGCGCTGAGCTTGGATTAAGACTTTGAAGATATTAACTTGGCAAACCTTAACTAAGGCTCAATTGTTGACATCCCATCCCGATAAGCCCGAATAGAACTCTATATTCTGATACTAGAACGCCGTAATCTAGCTTACGCAAGGTCCGAAGTGATCCCTTGCAGTGGAATGGCGACGAGTAGTACAAAGATGGCAGGCTTCCGTCGACCTGCGAGTTGACGTAGCAGACTTGGCCAACTACCGTGAAAGTACCGGATAACTGCGCTATTCATGTTCCCGACACCGCATTCCCTTTCGTTCCTTCTCGTTTAGGAGCGTCTACTTTAGCCGCCAGCTCCCCGGATGCTATCGGCAGCTACACCGGTTGCGCCATCTCAGTAAGTCAAACTCCTCAAGAGACCTTGATTCAGGAGAGTAGATAGTTACTGACCGAAGTGAAAGTGTGAAACTCTCGCGACCAAATTCCCTAACCAGGTCTACCTCGGCGCAACCAACGGTACGGACTATGTGGCGTCTCGGGAAGGCTTCTGGTCAACCATCCAGGGCGACGTATCTCCCTCCTGCTTCTTTCAGCCTGTCAGTACCACCGAGGTCTCAGTCGCCCTTAAAGATATCCCAAACACAGGCTGTCAGTTCGCAGTCAAAGCGGAGCCCACTATACTCATACAGCTTCGACGATTGAGGGAGGTCTCGTGATTGACCTGGTCCGGCTCAACGGAATCACACTGAGCGAAGACAAGGTCTCGGCGATTGTGGAGCCTGGAAACACTTGGGCTTACACATATGAGAATCTCCAGAAGTCTGGCGTGACCATCCCTGACGGTCGGATGTTTGGAGTGGGTGTCGGTGGGCTCACTCTTGGTGGAAAGTCAACCTCCGCATCCGAGTCTTTGGCCCGATGTCTCTGAGTAAGTACATTGCTTATGCAGACTTAGGTGGAGTCTCTTGGCTCAGTAACCGCTACGGATGGACTTGCGACAACTAGATCGAGTTTGAGGTTGTCGTGGCCAGCAGCGAGATTGTGAATGCATCAACAACACCAAACCTCGACCTCTACTGGGCCCTTCGGGGAGGTGGCAGTAACTTCGGTGCTGTCACCAGGTTTAAGTTCAACACATTCCCGCAGGACAAGATGTGGTACGCGAAGCTCCATTACGACGCCGCTGAGAACATCACGGCCAACGCGGCTTTCGCTGACTGGGGTACGATTCAATCCCCCAAATATCTTAGCAACGCGGCGGTTTTGTCCTGGAACGAGGAAGCCAGCGCACTGGCTTTCATCTCCATCCAGCAGATCCAGATCCAGGCCATCAACAAATCCCAGCTGGAGTTGATGCGACGAAACGGCGGGAATCCTCACCGACTCGGGGAACAGTCGCAGCCTCTTGGCTTTGTGAACCTACGGGCAAGGTGGGAGAGCGCAAAAGACGACGATGCCATTTACAGAGCTCAGCAGCGCACAGAAGAGAGAATCAACAAGGTGGCAGATGAGATGGGCCTTGATTCGGGCTACAAGTACACGAACTACGTCAGCCAATTCCAGGACCCGTTTGCTGGTTGTGGGCAGGCCAACAAGGAACGGTTGAGGTCAATTGCTGAGAAGTCTGATCCAAGCGGCGCTTTCCAAGAACTCTCCCCTGGCGGCTTCAAGGCTACGAAAGGTGCCCCTCAGATCCTCTGAGTGGATTAGTAAGAGGGTTGAAAGTCAAATTTGTCTATAATTCAAGTTGCGTGCTAGTTCTACTTTTTCTAATGATTTACAACTTGGACTTTGTGTCCTCCTCACGACCCTTCAGGTTCGGGTGGGGAACTCTGACGGGCCGGGTAACGGCGTAGAAAGCAAGGCCTTCTGACTTGGTAGAGAACTAGACAGAGAGAATACATCATGAGCTTGGAAGTTATAAACATAGGGAATATAAGCTTACCTTGACCTTGGATCCGACGTGGAAGAAAGCAAAATCTCCAGGTACTAGATGGTGGGTGATCCCAGTAGCCTCATCCTGTTAAAGCCACGCTAGTCAGCTCCCTATCTCATGTGCCCCATAGCTTTACACGGTATGAAGTGACTTACCAAGATGTCGATTTGACCGTTGAGGACGTACTTAGTCTCCTCAAAGTTGTAGTGCGCGGGACGAGCGGGTCCTGCGACAATCTTGTAGAAACCCGAGGTGAAGTGAGCAGGTGAGTCCTTTGTGTTTGTTCGGATTCTAGCAAGTTCTCAGCATTTGTTTACCACTTCATACATAAAAGGTTTCTTACGAGTGGAAATCGGCAACAGTCGCGTTCTCGCCCTCCGGGAGGGGGATAAACTCGTGGCCGGCGCCCTTGATAACAGTGAGGGGGACTAGGTTTCCAGACACTGATAAGACACTGGTCAGTTACATGCATTCTCGGGCACTCAAAGATCAGCAACACAACTCACTTTTGGTGTTTCTTTAGGTTGCAAGTTGAATCAAGGAATTGTTTCGTTCACAATTCGATTAAAGCTCATTGATATAAGACATCTGTATCTAAGATCGGGTGCGCTGCCGACAGGGTCTCGGGGCTTTCTCGGAGTGCGGGGAACCGCTGTGATGCGATCGGAATCCGACCCGGAGGGCCTGCATTCAGGGCCGGTTAGATACCCGCCGCCGTAAATCGGTGCGCGGGGTTCCGGGAAAGTCCCGAAAGTCGATCAGTGATGTGATTGTGGCTTGCCTATTTGAAGACGCAATGGTGAGGAGACATGCTGTCATGGAGGGTGTTGAATGCAGTACTGTAGTAGCTACTCTACATAAGGTACATCAACCTAAGAACGTAACTTGGCGTCATCCTTGAGTGCGAAACTGTCTTGAGAGAAAACTTTCATGTCACAATTCTTGTCTGCTTTCCACCTCGGCTCTGCGTCTAACTATGTCTTCTAGGTCGCTCTTGGGTTTTATGTAGGGCTTGATGACCTCCCGGGCCTGGACCTTCTGCTCAAAGTCGTACGCGATGCTAATCAGTGTTTCCTCACTGAACGGAGCCCCCGCAAAACCAATGCCAAAGGGTAAGTTCGGTGCCACGGCATTGAGCGTTCCAGTCTTGTCTTTGATAATTTCAGTATCGTCCGGATGCCTTCCAAACGGTACCGATATCACCGGCGTACCGGATATGGCAGCATTCATCACAGCAAACGCCGTCGGCAGTACTATCGCGTCCAGAGAATGGTTCTTGAGAGCTCCTGTGTATCCTTGAGGACCAGTCAGGTACAGAAGCCGGAGGTGCACATCCCAAAATTCCGGATCTGTGTTACGCAGACCTTCTGCTAGGTTGTTGTCCCATGAGAGTGTGTTCTTCTCAGGCCATTGCTCGCGAGAGTCATGCTGGGTCCAGTCCCGGAGCTCACGAAGCGTGGTGATGTTGTACGGGTTGGTCGCCAATTGCCCAAAGTACTTTTCTATGGCAACGGCGAAATCTGCGTGAAGGCTCTTGGCGAGGAGCGCGGAGATTTCGGTCATGTTGTATCCTGGCAAAACAATGTCGTCTATGATTTCCGCACCTGCAGACCGGAGAGTGTCAACGGCCGAGTCGAATACCGTCACCGAGTAGTTGGAGAGAGGGGCTTCTTGAGGGTCGTGTAGCACATGTCGTGGAATTCCCAATCTCTTGCCCAGCAGCCCCCCCTTAACGCATGCCGCGGCGTAGTCTGGTGTCTTCGGGAAAGGAAATCTAGACGTGTAGTTATCGCTAGGGTCCACCCCGGCGATGGCTCCCAGGAGATGAGCAGCATCTTTCACGGTCCGAGCGATAGGTCCAACAACATCTTGGTGCTCCGAGATGGGCACAACGAGGTACCGTGAGGTGAGGCCAAGAGTCGGCTTGATGCCCACAACGTTGTTGACGTCACTGGGCAACAAAATCGAGCCGGCTGTCTCAGTCCCCAGAGACGCCCACGCGAGGCCGACCGAAGACGCGACGCCGCTGCCCCCCGACGAACCCGATGGGTCTTGAAAGGGGTAATATGCGCCCAGGGTCTGACCGCCATACGTTGACCACCCATTGCTCGAATTGGAGCTCCGGCATTCGGCCCACTGCGACAGGTGTGCTTTGCCGAGCAATATCGCCCCCGCTTTCCGGAGCTTGGCGGCGACGGTGCTATCTTCGGAGACTTTAGCGCCGAGGAGGGCATAAGAGCCGGCCGTGTTGTTCATCTTGTCTGCCGTGGCAATATTGTCTTTGATCAGGACGGGGACGCCGTGTAAGGGGCCGAGAAGCGGTCCGCCCTGTCGGCGGATGAGGTCCAGAGTTTCGGCGATGGAGACGACATCCGGATTGATCTCGGTGACGGCGTTGAGGGTTGGCGTGGTCTCTTTAATGCGCTCGATGTAAGCATTAACGAGGTCGACGCTGGTGAAAATCCCACTGCTCAGACCGCGATTGAGGTCGTCGAGTGTAGCATCGAGGAGCGACGGAAACGCGCTGGCTGGTTTTTGTCCACATGTTGTCCATCCCGAGGACGGCCAAATGAGACAGACGGTCGCCTTGAGGAGTGAGAACGACAGCATGATTGAAGCCTCAAGTTTTAGCCCGGTCTGGTTCCACAACGTGATATCAATGGCAAACAGTTGTCGTGGTCTATTCAGTATTATTCGATGTGCGCGGGGTTTCCTCAAGTAGCCGAGTCAATTGACTCATTGTTTGAAGCATTCATTATTGAGGCCAATCGACTGCGTGGAATATGGGAAGATGGCGCGAGTTTGCAATGATTAGTCAGTCGTCTTACATGCATCGAACGTACGTCACAGCATAAGCAATCGCTAGGAGGAGAATGAAAGATCTTTCGTTTCTGAGATTTGGAGGAAGCAAGAAATGCTGGCAACCTCCATAGAGCCTTGCGGGCTGAGAAGTCGCAATAATCAACCCCAAGGAATAAGAATGTAGGAATTAAACCTGGTGTCGCGAATTCCGGCAGTCATCACCCCACATCGGGAGCGGGAACACAACGAGGAGGTCCACGCGATCGGCCCTCGCCGCTGTTCGCAGCCGTGGAGGAAGGTGACATTGTGGATTCGTGCTAGAAAAAGTTCCTTGAACGCGGTAATTCAGGCCATTTACCGCTTTACGTACGGGGCGCCGTTTGCTCTCATATGAATGATTCGAACCACCTACCAAGATCAGAAGAGCGCTATGCCTGTTGGGGCAGGTCGCATGAACGATCCTCAAGCGTGGCCGGGGGATTTAAGCTTATGATTGGTCACGATGATAGCTAATTTTGTGGGCATGGAGACATGGGGTAGATTTCCAGAGTGAGAACTGGTTTGTGAGTAGCCAGTTGCTTGAATGAGATGTTATGGCCGAGACAAAGCCAGCCGTTGTGGACATCATGGAAACGACTATGAAAGCAGGCCAAATCCCCCATCTTCTTAAGCATACTTGGCGACGGGCCGTTCCTCTTGCATCCTTCGCATCCTTCCGCTTCCCATCGTCTCGATCACCATGAAGTACTCTCTCATCGCGTCTCTGATTCTCCAGAGCACTGTTGTGCTCGGAGAGTTGCTCCCTGTGTACCTGCAGGGGCCCTCGCCCGAGAGCTTCAGGTAACACCTCATCATCAACTCATCCGGCCTAGACACTAACAGCGTATAGGGACATTGTTCGCAATGACACTCTTGACTTTGGCTGCAGAGCTGTTGCCAAGCCCAGCGAGGATGGAAGCCACTACAAGCTCCACGCCTGGCTCACCGAGGAGCAGATTGACTATCTCTCCAAGGAGTACGAGCTTGTGCCTGAAGTCTCTATCCACAGAAGAGACTTGAGCAAGAGAGCCAACGCGCCCATCGGGACCGGTGACCGCTTCAGTGCGGGAACCATCTCCCCCGTCGGTCTCGGAACCCAGGCTTCGGGCACCACCATCTCCAGCATCATGAATGTTGCTGAGATCAAGTCGGCCTGCGACGCCCTTGTCAAGAACTATGGCATCGGATCTCTCACTCTGCCGTACAAGACTTTCAACGGCGCCACCGAGTACGCCTACTACGTCGGCGCCGGAACCGACAAGTCAAAGTACCACCTGTACTTCAGTGCTGCCGTTCACGCCCGTGAGCGCGGTGGACCCGACAACATCATCTACTGGATCTCCGATCTCCTTGCCGCCAACAAGTCCGGCAGTGGCCTGACCTACGGCAAGAAGTCCTACACCAACGCCCAGGTCAAGAGCGTCCTTGCCGCAGGCATCGTCTTCTTCCCCCTTGTGAACGCCGACGGTGTCGCCTACGACCAGTCTTCCGGCTCCCTCTGGCGCAAGAACCGCAACACCAAGTCCGGCTCCAGCGGCAGCTCAATTGGTGTCGATATCAACCGCAACTTTGACTTCCTCTGGAACTTCAAGAAGTACTTCGACTCTTCCGAGGCGCCCGCCTCCACCTCGCCTAGCTCCGAGGTCTTCTACGGCATCGCCGCCGAGTCCGAGCCCGAGACCAAGAACCTCGTCTCTGTCTACGACTCCTTCCCCAAGATCCGCTGGTTCATGGACATCCACTCCGCCGTCGGCGACCTCCTCTACAGCTGGGGCGACGACGACGACCAGACTACCACCTCCACCATGAACTTCCTCAACTCCGCCTACGATGGCAAGCGCGGCCCCGTCGGCGACTCCGCTTACAAGGAGTACATCCCCTCAACCGATCTCAGCAACATCAGAACCGTCGGTACGGCCATGGTCAACGCCATGAAGGCTGTCGGCGGTCGTGCGTACACCTCTATCCAGGCCGTCGGCCTGTACCCCACGTCCGGCGCCAGTGACGACTACTCCTTCTCCCGTTTCTGGGCCAAGCCCGGTGTTAACAAGGTCTATGGCTACACCTTGGAGTTTGGCCCCTCTGGAAACTTTTACCCTACCTCAGCCGAGTTCAACACCAACATTTTGGATACGAACGCCGGCTTCATGGATTATGCGCTGGCTGCTATCAGCGTTGGTCTGGAGTAAATCATGTGATGGGATATCATCAAAATTCTTCGTGTAAATACTTTGCCACCGTGTTGAGCAAGGAGACGCACGCACATACTGCACGAAAGCTGTGGTCTATGATTGTTACGCAATTGAACGACTTATTAATCATGACTTAACATATGCAGTTTCCCTACAGCAATCCATAGGTAATACCCTGATAGTAGCTTGATTAGCTACGTGCTTGAGTCTTAAGTATCTGGCAAATCCATGGAGTGCTACTTGCGAGCGATCACCGCAACTGGTCTTATCTACCTACTCCTGCCCTCCTCGCAATTCTATGCCAAAGGGTTGAGAATGTTGACCTAGGCAAATTATCTCTGCGCTTGGTTGGCGAAGCTCATTTATCATCCCTGGTTAAGGAAGGATCACAGAAAACAACCTTTCCAAGCTTGAGCGCCTTCATGAAGAGACCTCATGGTCTGGGAGGTATCCGTTGTCAACGTTGTTTTTACCTCATCGAGAGAGTCAAAAGAGCTGTTGTCCGGTGAGTATACAGTATCACACAGTACAATTAGTGTTCATGGGCGGCGCCACCAGTGGCGCTATGAAATGGGGAAGTCCGGCGTGCGATCCTAGCGTGAGGTGACAGTTAAAACATACCTCAACCTCATGGTCAATAACGCCCCGTTTCTGTGACGATACAAGCTTGAATTTGATTACCAGGGAACTCAATTGAAGCTTGAAGTTCCATTCTCCTGATGACTATTTCGCACATGGCGTCCGAACCTCAGCAACCTTCGGCCGGCCCGCCTCGCAAGGGTACCGACCCAGACTTCGTCCCATGTTCAACCAATTGCGGAGACTAATAAATCTTAGTTGACGTCTTCACCGGAGACGTCGTTCACCACGACACTTACCCTGAGATCAACCCAGTCACGGCTTCCAACTGCACTGGGAAAGCAGTCCTCATCACAGGAGCAAGTAAAGGACTCGGAAAGGCAGTGGCAATCGGCTACGCCGAGGCAGGCGCATCCCTCATTGCCGTCGCCGCTCGCTCAAATGTCTCATCTACCATCGCCTCCATCATCGAGGCCGCAAAGGCTGCTGGGAGGGCTGAGCCAACGGTATTGGCCCTCGAGATGGATGTGAGCAGCACGCCGAGCGTAAAGGCGGCCGCAGAGCGACTTACGTCCGAGTGGGGACGCCTGGATATCCTAGTTAACAACGCGGGCTACATGGCTCCCTTCAACTTGCTGCTTGATGCTGACGACGACGAGTACATGAAGGCATGGGATGTGAACTACTGGGGCACATATCGTGTCACGAAGGCGTTCTTGCCGCTGTTGCTCAAGGGCGGCGACAAGACGATTGTCAATATGTCTTCGGTGGCGGCTCACTTCATGGGTGCTGGAGGAGGAGCCTATCACATTTCCAAATTTGCGCTGATACGGTTCACCGAATTTGTCCAGGATGAGTATGGTGATCAGGTAACATCATTCACAAGCATGGATTTGAGATCATGAACTAAGCGTGTTTGAAAGGGCGTCTTAGCGTTTTCCATTCATCCTGGGGGGATTCCGACAGAGTTGTCTTCGAATTTGCCAGAAAGGTTGCAATGTGAGTAGGCCACACATTTAAGACGTGTTAACCTTGGGCTGACTATGGGATAGTTCGAATGCGAGATACCCCAGAGCTTGCTGCCCATTCTATCCCGTACCTTACTAGTGTCAAGAGGGAATGGCTAGGAGGCAGGTGGATTAGCTGTATGTGGGATATGCCAACGCTCGTAACTATGGAGAAGAAGATAGTTGAAGGGAATCTCCTGAAGTTTGAGTGCAGTGGCTTGTAGAGAGACAAACTCTAGTTGGCCTCGAGATAAGACACATAAGCGATCTATCATATGACCCAAATGTCGGATAGAAATCAAGCTGGATGCGTGAAAAGCTCAAGGTAAAGTTGTTCCGTGTTTGCTGATATGAAGTTCAGAAATGCCTAGAACCTCCTCCGAGACTGCTGTTGTTGGCGAACTTTTTCGATCCGCCTGTTACACCATTCCAACCATTCCCCGAGCCTTGGTATTACAAACCAAAAATTCGTAAGTGCGAACATGGCACTAGCATTTGCTGTGTCTGGAAAAGCGAGATAATACTGAATAATCCCCTCATCCCACATCCAGACAACCGCCGACACTGTTGCAAACAAAAGGACTACCAGGAAGACCTCGAGAAGGAAGTCCCCTGGAAGTATAATGGACATGAAATAAAGCCACCCCGCAAACAAGCATACTGCGGCGATGTAGCTCATGAGGGGTTCGAGTGCCCAAGACAATGTCTCAAAAGGCTTCAGGACAAAGTTGGTGAAAAGCACACTAGGCCATCGTACCCAACTTCGATGATCTTCTGTGAAGGGGATACTTTCAAGCTCGCCACTAAGATTCCGATTCTCGTTGAAAAATGTGCCCTCTTCTATGGCCTACCGTATCAGCATCGTGCTAATCCAGCGGACGGATAGACTCACCAGCCGAAGATAGATCACTATCCCATTGCGGACCCTGGAAATTAAATGTACCGAATGTTATTGGCGGCGAGGTGCCAAGTCTGCCTTTTGGTCTTCGCATAGAGGGCTGTTTGGGTGTCGGGGATAGCAGATAGGTAAAAGAGAAGGTAACAAGGAGGAGCTGTCGAGTGTTCCTCCACAGGTGGCCTTCAGAATTCTGTAAAGAGAGCTTTGGCAACTTTAAGCAAGCCGCGTCGCTCATTATTGGTTACGCACCGAACGATTAAATTGGACTAGAACCAGGGGCAAGCCAAAGTTTGAGAGCCTCGGAGTGGAATTTAAGGGAGATTTGACCGCTATTTGGGAACTGTCTCTCGGCGCATGGAAAAGGCGGCAGGCTGCAGCACGTAAGCCTTGGCTGTTTCCCTTGCCTGAGGTAGGTAACACGATATATCAGCCGCATTCCCGCCATAACTTCGTCCCTCGGCCCTTTCCCGATTACGCCTTTGTAGAGGACAACCATGGCTGAGCTTGGATACATAGCGTTGGCTGGCAATCTGCTCCAATTCGCTGAACTTGGTGTCAAATTAGTTCGCGGCGCCCTGGAGCGGTACAAGTCTGCCGATGGCTCGACTATTCATGATGAGATATTGATAGCCGATGCCCGGCGTCTGAGACATCTTGCAGGTGTTATCCTGAACAATGAGTCAGATGCAACAAAGACAACAGAAAGTCCGATACTGCGCTCCATTGCTCAGAGATGCACTGAGGATGCTGCTGTCTTGATTGAGATCCTCGACGCATTGAAGGTGGATACAACTCCAGGCCAGAACTTATACGCAAGGAAGTTACAGAGCTTTGAGCAAGCACTAAAGCGTATGTTAAAAGAGCATAAGATACGGGAGTTGGAGTTGAGACTTGGAGGTCTCCGCAGAGAATTGCAGCTATTTCTCACCCATGCTGCTGGGTAAGAGATCACAATAAAAGACAGGGTCGAGGATACTTAACGCTAACAAGACTCATGCAGAACAGCACAAAAAGATATCCAATCCCTTTTCAGAAGATTAGAAGATCAGAACAACAGCCTCGAGGCTAAGGCCATCGCCAAACTGGACGACATCGTTAGGCGAATTGACAAGACAACACAAGTCTTACAAAAGACTATACTCAATGAATTCTCAGCCCAGATAGATCTTCTCAGGGCCGAGATCGATGATTTCAATGACGAGAAACAGTACGTGCGAACGAGACACCACATACTACGCAGTTTGAAATTCGATCAAATCAAGGCGAGGCAGGAAGCGATCAAGGAAAGACACAGAGCGACGTTTGACTGGGTTTTCAGCCACGATGATACCCTATTTCCCCAATGGTTGGAGTCAGGTAATGGGATTTTCTGGGTAAGAGGAAAGCCAGGAAGTGGCAAGTCGACTTTGATGAAGTTTCTCGTCACTCATCCGACGACGAGAGTGAAATTAGGAGTCTGGGGCAACGGCTGCACGACGATCATCGCATCTCACTACTTCTGGAGTGCCGGAAGCTCCATGCAAAAGTCACAACGCGGCTTGCTCCAGACACTACTGTACGAAGTGTTGAGGGAGGTTCCGAATCTCATCGACCGCGTTTGCAGTCGTCGTCGATCAGCCTTTCAGCACGAACTGATGGAAACATGGGGGATGTAGGAGCTTCTCGCAGCATTTGCCCTACTCGCTAGTCAGACGGATCTCCCAGTGAGATTTTGTTTTTTTATCGATGGTCTCGACGAGTATACGGATCGAGCAAAGCGATATGACAACACCTTCGAAGGTCTTCTTCGAGTTCTTAAAGACTTCGCGTCCTCGCCTTCTATCAAGATCTGTGCTTCAAGCCGGCCATGGGATGCCTTCCTGGACGCATTTGGTGCCCAGCCATAGCAACTTCGAATGGAGGACCTGACTAGAGACGACATCCGCCACTATGTCACGGACATATTGTGCAACAACGATGACTTTACGGCACTTACGAAACAAGATGACCGTTGCTCTCGAGTAGCCGAAACAATTGTCGACAGAGCTCAGGGCGTATTTCTGTGGATTTACCTTGTCGTGGAGTCCCTGAAGAACGGCCTCGCAAAAGGAGACACATTCACAGAATTGCAAAGTCGGGTGGACGAGCTTCCAGCTGACCTGGAGGAATATTTCCAGCATATGATCGAGTCAATAGAGCCGATATACTGGGAAAGCACCTCGCGCATTTTCAAAATCATGATTGAATCAGGTCAAGCGCTACCGCTTTTAGCCTTCGAATTCCTCGAACAGGAGGCAGAAAATGTGAGCTATGCGTTGCAAATGAAGGTCGCCTCCACTTTGCCGGAAAACGTGGAAAAGTTACATGACAGAATGAAGAAGCGGCTCAATGCGAGGGGCAAAGACCTCCTCTACGTTACCTTTCATCCGGTCAAGAGACCATTTCTTCAGTACCAAGTCGACTTTTTGCATCGAACTGTGAGAGACTTCTTCATTGATCGAGCCGTACTTGAGGAAACAAAGGCAAGAAGAAAGACTTCCCACTTCAACCCGGCACTTTCACTGTGCCGAATCATGCTGGCTTTTGTCAAAACAGTGTCATATTCGGAAGAAGCGGTTAACTACAACGAGATCTTTCTCTTTTCTGACGGACTGATGTACCATGCTCACACGATTCAACAGGCATTTCTCAATAACAACGAGAAATCTGATATCAACCCTCAATGTTTATTGGATGACAAGGAGAATATGTTCAATCTGCTTGATGCATTGGATCAAACGAATACATCACATGCCAGAGACATGAGTGTCCACTGGACGAACTTCAGAGAAAGCCCAAAGGGCAACTTCAGAGAGAAGCGACAGAAGAACTTTCTAGCCTCTGCTATACAAGCGAGGCTATCATTGTATGCGAAGCACAAAATCGACATAGATCTAGATCGGGTTCATGAGAAGACTGGCCGTCCATTGCTGGACTACGCTCTGCGGCCAACCACCGTGACCCCTTTTGAGCTACCTACTCAAGAGGGTCCAGTCGGAGCTATGGTTGAATTCCTGCTACAAAACGGGGCTGACCCGAACCAGAGAATCGAATTGTATGGCGGAAAGACGCCTTGGCAACTTTTCCTTTCTGTCTGCTATGGCCACAGTCTCCAAGCCGAAAAGTTGAGCCTTGATGAGGATGAGGTGACAGACACGATTGTGGCGATGTTGCTGTCGGGGGCAGATCCCAAAGTTAGAATTGATCTCAATGGCGGTGGGAAAGCAGATGTCCTAGGGGTTGCTTTAAGACTGGCCCTTTCTAGGGCAAAAATTGAGAGAATCAAGAGCGCGATGAAAGACAGCAAGCCCTGTCAGCAGCCGGGTTTCTTGGAGAGCTTCAGGTCATGGTGGTGGAGGTACTGAAAGATTTTTCGAGGGCCGAAAGAGTCCAATAGACAAACGAACCATGTGAAGGGTAAACCACTGATACAATTAGATCTTGACAACGACTTTACTACTCCTCATCTCCTCAAACTGTTTTCTTCTCCTAATTAGACTATAGCGTTTTCGTTCACCCTCGCTTCTCTTGGATCTTAATAATCCCATCGTCCTTCTTAAACCATTGATCATTTTGGGACTGGTGACCAAGAGTAGGGCAGCTACATCCCTTGAACTAGCAAAACATATGACCGTTGCCCACCCTTCTCAGCATATACCGCAAGTACAGGATGTAATACCCGGGCAGAAGTTAGAACTGATGAACAAGAGCTACTAGCTGTTGCCAATATGCGCATTATCGTGGAAAACCTGAGGAAGCAACCCATGCTGATGCACGCTCGGAGCATTCGGTCTTATGCTGGGGCTGTTACCGCCGCTGCTCACCAGCCTCCGAACCCAGTCAGGTAAAGCAGACCACCTACACAGCAGGAAGGCATGCAGCCCCTTCACCGAGGTTCCTCCCAACACTGCTCCTGCCATCGACAACCGCGGTCATTCCACACTCATCCGACCCACCCCCAATTCTCCCCAAATCCCAAGCCCCCATCTCGCTACCGCGGCGCCCTCAACCGCATCGATAGCCATCCCAATGGCGAGCATCATTATCCGACAGGATCCGGGATCCATTTACCGACCCGGCCGAACCAACATTGGCTACAGCATTGTCAGCGACGATGGCGTGATTGGAGAGTTCGTGATACAGTCTCATAGGTCAAGTCTCTTATGCGGAGCTAGCTAACACTCGAGACAGGCCCGCCCCTCAGGACGAAGATTCTTGGATCGAGTTCCTGACCGACGAGGCGATCGAGGACCTCGACATGACTCCGGATGGCCTCTCTGAGAGCGATACGCAGTCGCACGACGCCCAGCCCGATATGTCAGAGAAAGTCATTGACTCAATCGAGGCGGTGAACAGAGAGGACGGGACCGAGGAGGAGAACCAGGAGGACAAGGCCAGTCATTCCATTGCCACCCGGGTTCGAAATGTAACACCTCCCTTCCTAGCTTCTCGTTCTCGCAATATTGACTTTCAGGTACAGGGACCTCTCAGCCCCATGTTAGTTGATGGCATCCCCCAGGTAAGAACTTCACTGCCTTCCCCCCCCCCCCTCTTGTTGGAGGAAACACCCCTAACAATATGTCGCTATCCAAGAACCCCGACAAGATCTACTCATCCGCGGCGCCGCTTGACCAGCGCGTGAAGTAGGACTCCACGTCGGACGGCTTCCGAGGCTTCTATGACAACATGGGCAACCCCTTCTTCCAACATGACTATGACTATGAGCCCGCTTTACCCCCTCACCTCCGTCGCCCCATCTTCGTCGACTGGGCCGAGCCCTTCAAGAACCCCGTCTACGCTCTTCGTTACCTTGCAGAGATTGCCGGAGACTACTACACCGTGACTCTCATGAACCAGAGAATCAGCATGCAGCAACGCCCGCAGACACCAGGTGCTCAGAGCGTCTTGCAGTCGCACCTGCTCTCGCCTGCTGCCTCGCATATCGCTACGCCCGCTCGCACGCCGGCTACTAAGCGCCTTCGCTTCTCCGACGATGTCGTTCGCTCTGGTTAAGAGAATCTGATGAACGAGGATGCGCTCATTCTCGATAAAGCTCAGAGGATTGGCAATTCTGCACGAAGAGAGGATCAGCAAAGGATAGGAGTATGAAAGCATAAGACATAGTTTTACAGTATGATGGCTCAATGGTTTCAGGAGCCAGAACTAGTCTCAGCAACAGGATACCTGTGGCCAAGTTGGGTTGACACACAGCTCTGGAAGAAACACTCCTCTTGTACTCTTACTGCTATTTTATGGAGAGACTTCCCAGTGATCAACTCGAAGAAGCAGAATAGACCCGGACTCGCTGGGTTTGACTGCTGCCCCGAGTATGTAGCGCTGTCCCGAGAGAATCTGAAAAGACCGATCAGACCACGAAGTACCATTGAGCGTATTCTTGATCCTGCGCCAGGATTCGGCATGAACGACTGCGTTGTGCTCGACGAAGTCCAGCATCTGTGGCTGATCCGTCCCCAGACTACATGTCATGGCCCGCCCATCCGCCTCCAGACGCACCCCGACCACGATGTCGCGCACGAACGTTCTCGTAACGGAGTCTAGGGTCTCAGTGATACGGAGCACGATATATGTGATGCTTTGTTGCTCAACATAGTAGATCCATTGATGCGGGCTAATACTGCCGGTGCTGGAAGCCTGGCCTGCGGGGTCGGACTTGTGGACTTGGAGCGCAAGGGCATGTTTCCCCTCCATGGATATCCTGAAAGTCTTGGATGACGCTTGTCCGATAGCACCTTCGCGGCCAACTTCCGGCCCGAACAGACCATAAGAATTTCTCATTGATAGATACAGCGGCTCAGGAAACGCATTATCAATCCTAGCCGTGATCGGCATAGCGCGGATACGGCTTGTGTTAGATCTAACGTAAAGTCCATTCTCCGGGTCGACGCACTTGACTTCGACGCACAAGTAGTACTCTTTGGTGTATCCATCGCGTGGAACGGTGAGGAGATATCGAGTCCACAAATAACGTGCCCCCATGGTGTTAGGTGAGACATAGACTTCTGGCAGCTGAACATGCAGGCCTCGGCTTGTGACTGTAGGAGGTACCGTCTTCGAGTTATCTCTGAGGCCTCCGAAGGTCGAATACCCGGCTTCGGACTTGAGCGAGGCTTTGGGGAGGTATTTAAGACACTTAGCATTATCCCAGGTCAACTCCGTGTCACGCACAGGTAAATCTCCGGGGAAATAGAGGCGAACTCTTTCGAAAGCGGCAGGACTTTGTGCAAGGACGCCGGATTGCTCTCCTAAAGAGTATGTCTGAGCCCAGAGGAGAACGCTCATGTCTTCCGAATTGCGTATGATCTCTTGCTGCAGGCGGACGAAAGCTCGATCCCCTTCACCGTAAAGAAGTGGCATGTGGATGTCGAATATGCCCAAGAGGCAGTACGCGATGTCCTCCTGTCGCGTTGTTTTCCTTGTCGAAGCCCAAGACATACGTTCGGCTACGGGCAACGATGGTATTGGGGTGTCATGCGAAAGGACGTCACGTCGGATTCCTGTCCGGTTGTGTAAGAGGTACTCGAGAGAGGACTTGGTCCCAACTTCGTTCCAGTCGCAGTCATAGAATTCGATGAGCCTGGGTGCAAGTAGCTCTTGGAGAGTCCAGCCTCTGGTAAACCACTTGGTAGACTTGAAAGCCAAGTAGTCCAGCCGGCCAGGCTTCTGAGCCAGCAGGTCGCTAAGGTAAACGTAGCAGACGGTCGCGTTTTGATACCAGCGGAACATGGAATTGATGGCTTCGGAGAGGTCGGCACTCAAGGTTTTATCGATGCAGCAAGTATCGATCCAAACCCAGATGATGCCGTCCCGGAGGGCCTGGGCACAACAGGCGCGGACCTTGGCGAACCCCTTCTTGAGGGCATAAGAAGAATTGGTGACATCTTGCAGTGTAACCTCGTCTTCTTCCCAGGTGTGCGAGAGGATTGCGTAGATTGGGATGCTGTAGCCGAAGAACTCATGCAGCTGAAGACTGGTGGCGTTTAGGAGCATCATCGTCGAAAAGCCCAAGGCTAGCAATCGCAGGCGTAAAGAAACGAAGAACAGTAGGAAACACACCGGGTTTGCAAGCTCTCAGGTCATCTACCGGATGGCGATAGTCGGAGATTCTGGGAATCCATACGCACACTTGAGCGGTGAGACAGCTGCAGCATGCCGGACACGGCGCCACACGCAACGTCGGCGAACCAATACGGTATTCAATGGCGCCGTGGTGCTGAACAGCACTCACTTTTGTGAGCATGCCTGCAGTCTTTGGCCTGATTACCATGTCAGCACCGAAGCATCCGGACATCTTACTCTTACTCAGACAGAGACAACAACACTATGTGACCATTGCAGACGACGACCTGACGGGTATGGTATCAGGCTGGCACTGCGTGTTCTTCTGGTGTTGTTGAACATCTCCAAAGCCAATGTGTCGTCACGTGGGAGTCCAGTAATAGCGACTCCAAAAGGTTCAAGATTGCGAAACAGCCACATTGGGGGCTATGGTGGTTAGAGTGGCTGAGTGCCGGAATTGGGGTGTCTCAAGCAGGCTCGCTGGGATTATGGCGCAGCCTTCAACATGGATAGTTGTCGGTAGTCGGGAGAAGCCTGCTCCGATCACGAGGTATCCGTACCCGTATTGTTGAGTGTATACTCCGTACAGAGCCGACGAGCGAGGTAGGTAAGATGAGAAGGGGCGAGCTGGGCCTCATGATCTCATCACCGAAGCTGCTGTTCCGTCCAGGGGCGTGGAGGCGAGGCCTAGTCGAGATGTGCTCTGACTGGGGTGAGAATGGATTCCCGTGCGCTAGACGTCATCGGCCCTCAAAGTCAGCAGGGGTTGGCGGGCCGAGTGCAGTGGCAGCTGTCTCATCTCGGATGGTCGTGAGATGAGAAATACACTCGATGGTGAATGTCATTGTTTTGAAAGCCACAGAAGCAAACAATGATGAGCTGTCTTGGTGTTTCCTGGGCGACGGAGCTTACAGCTTGAAGCTGTAGCCAGAATGCAACATCAGATGCAAAAAGATTACAGAGGGTTTACATGTAATGCGCCCGATGGATGTGAAGGAGAGAGCTTCAGAGGAGCAGCCAGTAACATTTCACGCCTGAGAGCATTTGAGCCAATCCTCAGGCACAAGTGGAGTTTAGCTAGGATACGTATCGCCTTACATAAGGCAGCATGTGATGCAATGGCCCGGGAAATGCGGGTCTGCAGCTTCAGGAGGGGCGAGCTACAGGGCGGGGTACCCCTCTTTCGCACCTGCCTCCCCCCAGCTCAGCTTCGTCACACCTCACCTCACCAGCAGACGGCAAGAGCAACAGGCCACAAGGGCGGGTGTCTCCTGCTCTCTTGAGTCTCGACCTTGGGTGCTGTGTGGCCGTCCCATGTGCCTCTCTCCTGTCATTGCCATACCAACTGTGCCAACCCAACCCCAACCACAACCAATACGCTCATCCATCCGACCACCTTATTCCAGACGCGAACGTGCCTTGCTGTTCCAGTTCAACCCCTCTTCCAAGTTCAAGGTGTGAAGACGCAGACGGCAGAAGATTAGAGAGACTACAAAACACACCACCACCCGCGCCCATCCACACTCCGCCCTCCCGCGTCCAGACTCCCGTCCTCTACCCGAGTTCCCCATCGCGAAAACCACCGTTTGACTACTACGCTTACCACTTATCATCCCAATTCCAAGGCGGAACAATCGCAAATCCTGTCTTGTTCCTTACCCTGCGCAACGAAAACGAGGCGAGACGAGTCCGTAAACCCCAGCTTCACCGGAACCCGCCGATAGCTCGCCCCGTTCGAGTATCAGATACTAGATCCCCCGCCAACCATCAACACCACCAACAAATCAACCATGTCTGACGAGAACACCAAGTCCGTCGTCGACGAGACGCCCATCACCCACCCCGCCGGCGAGCGCAAGAACTCGCTTGAGGCCCACCTCCAACACCGTCCCGATCGCGCCGAGTTGGTCGAGAGTATGTGAATCCCTTCCCACAGTCTCCATCTCGTGATCCCATCCCTGCCTCAATGTGCATTTGAATCTGCAACCACAACCAACGCCGCCTTCTATTCGGATCTGCCCTTGATACACTGTTGTCGCGATTTCCTGTTTTCTTTCCCCTATTCGATGCGTGCCCCCTCCATATCTTCCCGTCGGTCGCGCCCCACCGTCCGCCTCACCCGCCGATCATCAAAACCGGGATCACCTCGAATTACCCGGAAGAAAAACCCCGCCCTCAATGCGCCTGCTGCGCATAGCCGGGGACTTTACGCCGCCTCGTCCCGGATTTGCACTGCTACGATGTTAACATGCTAACTGACCTTCCAATAGAGAATATCTTGCCCGCCTCCAACGCCGCGCCTAGCTTGATCGCCCACCAGAAGGAGCTTGAGAAGCACATGCGTGCAGACTCTCTCAACGACAAGATCTCCCACCGCCCTGCCCCCGAAGACCTCATCAAGGAGGGCGTGCTGAAGGAGGACCCCCGCAGCGCCGACGACAAGTATGCCGAGGCCATCGAGGACGAGTACGCCAAGCGTGAGGGTGGCGCGTGAGTTCGTCGGGATGTGCTCCTCGACGGTATTTGATCACTTGCCTCGTTATTCATCCGCGCTGCTACAACTCTGAGGCGAACATGGTGGTGGATGATGCACATTGAGGACGTGCGGAACGACGATGTAGGATTATTGGTATTCGCTACCGCGGTTATATGATATGGAGGATCTGCACTCTTCCATGAATGAGTCTACGAATAACAGAAAAGAGCTAAAAAAAACAAGTTTAGTTGTTTCCTTGTCAGGGCAGTCTGGTGGATAACAAGCCAGACTGGAACTTCAGCTTCCGAAAATAAACAAGAAAAGAAAGAACAGAAACATGAATTGGATTGCCATCAAATTGCCATCAGAAACGGAGATATTAATGACATGCGTGCATGTATCATCAACTTGTTTCTTGCAGCCTTGTCGTGAACGAAGCCTGCTCTTATCGGCGGGCACGAGATGGCAGATCCAAGGGTCTTTTTGGGGTATTACGGAGTACCTCTGTTTCTATTATTGGAGCATTGGCATGCCATACAGCCGCACTGGAGCCCGCCTCTATCATTCTCCCCCGACACCCCATTAACATGTGAACTATTGGCCAGCCTCAAGGCGACAAGTTGGAAGGCAACAAAAGAATGAAGAAGGCATACCGGTATATTTGCAACTTTGGATTAGTATTTCAACTACCTATTTGAAGTATCTGGGTAGGGTAAGGTGCCATGTACTGCTGGTGAAAGTACCTTAGTTGAGGTGGCCCATATCACAGCCCATCCCACGCTCATGGTGCATGAATGACATCTTAGGCTGCGCTTTAATCAAAGACACATGCAAGTCATTACCACGAGAAAGACACAGGGAGGAAAGACACATGGGGCTCAGCCTTCAGGAGAGAGAGAACTGACGCAAGTCATCAAGGCAGTCTCAACTTCACTGCCTCCACAGCCTACCCGGCCTGGTCTGAAGTCGCAGTCTGGACTGGACCAAGCTGTGCTTACTATGGTACCGCACGCGACACCACCATTTCCCCCATCCCCTTCCTCCAACTTTTTTTTTCTGCGCATGTATTTCTCCAGGGCATGGTAGCCTATCGTCGCATTTCTGCACTCGGACTGCCGTCCTGCCGTCGCTCCCGCCCCTTGCAGTTGCAGCAGCGCTGGGCCGCTGGGCCTGGGGAACCACAATCAATCAGGGGACGTTGACGTGCCTTGCTTACCCTACGAAGTACGGAGTACCGGATACTCAGTAGTGTACACTGAGGTGGGCTCCCCTTCCCCTGGAAGAAGTTCAGTCTAGGGGAGTGAGTGCAGCGACACTTTTGCTTGCCTTGCCTTGCCTTGCCTTGATTACTTCCGAGTCTGGACCCCTTTCTTCCAAGTAAACGTTTGCTTTTCCTCAGGGGGATCAATCAGTCTTGGTGCGAATACATGGGGCAGATGCTGGGCCGGCCGTATGTTTGGAAACTTTTGTACCTATTTTCCCGCACTTTTCCCACACCCCTCGAGCCCTCGTCGTTGTTGACTTTTTGGGTTCAGAGACAATGAGGCGGGCGGACTGGTGGGTTACAGAGACAAAAATTCAAATTCCCCATTTGGAAGGACTGCGCAGGCACACCGAGCTTATGGTTGGGTTGGGAGAAGGAAAAAGGAGACACGCATGTCACTCATTGGTGGTAGGCTGGTAGGCTTGAGGTAAATGTGCAAAGAAATTGTAACAGTTTGTTGAAGAGTCTGACAGTACCATCGATCTACGGGCGAGCACAAAAGTGTCGCAGATCCAGTGGTTATCCCGTAAAACACAAAAAATCCCATCCGTCTAATCTAGACATGACAGTGGCTCCCGTCCCATCCGTCGGTGCAACATACAAAATATACAGGTATCAACCTCCTATCCATCCTTGGGAGGTGTTCCCACAATACCAAATTCCCCTGCGTCCACATTATCATCCATGCATCCCGTAAAATTCCCAATGCTGTTCCGCGGGCCAATCACGGTGTTACAATATGCTGTACAGGAGTGCGAAAGCCGCCCAGTCGCTTATGCCCGAAATCCCCCCAAATAACGCCAGTCTTTATGCATTTACAAAGTGAAGTGGTTTATATGTTGTCGTTGAAGAGTGAAAGAGTCGCATCGGCATCGCTTACTCTAGTGGCGCGAGTATCCGCCGCCGTAGTGTGGTGATGGAGCGTGGGCGTCGTAGCCAGCTTGCTTGCGGTTGATGATCGTGACGCCGCTGTTCTCCTTGATGGCAGCGCGGTGCTGGTCTGCGCCGTAGACACGAAGGTAGGCCTCATCGCTGGGAGAGATGGAGCGAGGGGTGGAGGAGCCTCTTGATGAGGCGTAGGAGCCTGTTGATGCCGAGTAGGCGCTGCTGATAGAGGCCGGGGCCTGGTGGACGACCGGCTTGGAGGAGCTGTATCTGGAGGCCATGTTGTGTTTGGTGTTACTCGAGTATGGGATGCGAGTTGCGTGTTGGGGGTTGTGTGGTAGATGGGGGTTGGTCTCCAAAGGTGATGTGTTTGTTGAAGAGAGTTGAGCTGGTAAGGTGTTTACGAAGTTTGGTTGACGAGTGTTTGACTTGGGAGTTTGGTAAAGAAGATGTTCGAGTCTGGGAAGAGAGGCAGAGGGCATGGCAGGATATATAGATGGGAGGTGTTTGCAGACACCACACCCAGACCTGGGATGCCTCCATCATCTTTGTACGTACACTTGTAAGTACGAATACTCGAACGCGTGTGCCATCAGCACTTGCCGTAGACAGGGCATGCTTGGTCCCGGGGTGTACGGTACGGCAGAGAGAAAGAAGAGACAGAAAGAAAAGGCCCGCAAAAGGTTTGGCCTGCCTGGCCATGCGAGAGGTACCTGGACATGGACCGGGACCTGGACCGGGCAAAGTAGAAGAAATGCCTTGTGGAAAGTCTCGCTGATGGGTGGTGTGTGGTGTAGGCGAAGCAAAGAGTAAGTGACTCAACCTCAGCCCAACCTTGGACCTTGGAAAGCATTGCTTGGAAAGCAGACTCTGGCACGGGAGTACGGACGGAGTAGAGGTGCCAGCCCAGGCATGAGGTGTGAGGCAGTGTGGGGATAGCCCTGGATGCTTTGGGGCTGACCAGAGTGTAAGAAGGGCCGGGTGTGTGCGTTTAGACTTGAGAATCTGTGGTGTCCTGGCCTCCTGGTGTGTGCGTGTGTGTGGCCAGTTCTTCTTGTGTCGCAAGGCGACTGGGAATCCATTGGGCAGCTTTGTCATTTCAGGGCCCTTCAAAATGCAGGGACGTTAGGCACGGGAAACGCTAGAGTGGTTTAGTCCGAAGTAATAAAGTCCATGGATTACCAAGGAAAGCAGGGAAGAGGGCTGTTGTGATGTTGCAGATGCTGTGGAAACCAGAAAAGGGTGCGGTTGGCGGGCCCCTTGAGCATCTTTCCGGACTAGACGACAGGATGCAGCGCGTGTGCGTCTATGAAGTCCTACCAGACAGACTACCACACTGCCAGCCAAATAACGCCAAAGTCCTTTGGGGCCATGCTTGACAGTAGCAGGACTTACAGCATCAGGAGAAGCAGTATCCATCCCTCTCAGGAAACCCTCCCTTGATGCCTCGGTGGCGAAACGTCATGGTTGATTGGACGAGGGATGGTCGGACGACGCAGGTAGGGCGGATTCAGGGCGATGATTGACAGGACTGCCGCTGTGTCTCGCCCTGCTTGGATGTTGTACTATGTCCCGCTTTCACCTGTGTCCACCCTTTAGCCGCCGTACGTATCATTGACACAGTTTGTCATCATTCATTCGCAGCTTCGAGACGTCCAGACTCAACAACTGATCAGTGATGCCATATTCCGCACCAGCCTGATGTCGATGACCAAGCGGCGACGCGTAAGTGCCGTCTTTTGCGGTCTTGTGGCTGCTCAGCTTTGGGGGCCAGAGCCTGTGATTTCGCGGCAGAAGTAGAAAAAAAAGCCAGAGCAGCTACGGCCTTACAGGAACTTGGCTGTCGTCGCTCATCTTCAAGGACTCGTGAGACTGCCAGCCTTGGTTGGCCCCCGTAAGCGCTTCGCCGCCATGCAGGACACTCTGTGAGTGTGTGCCAGATTGGGAGGCCACCCCTCAGCCGTGTCGCCAAATCTGGAATGGAACAGAGGAATTAAAGATTTTTCTGTGCTCTTGTTGCTCGAGTCTCAAGAAAAGAAGGTATCAGTACCAGCATAGCCCCTGGCTCACGGAGGACTGTCGCTGCCCAACTCATGGCCCGATGATCCTCGGGTTGCCATTGTAATTTGCTTCCTTTTTCTTCTTGTCACTCTGGTTTCCACTCAGTCGGGACCATCCGCCGGAGACAAGAAATGTCTGTGTTTCTGGAAGCCGGTCGAGTTGGGCCTCCAAGGGGCCAGAGAGTTCGGATCGAGCCTGATGTCTTTGGAGGCGGACAAGGGGCATCCCCTGCTAAGTAGACTGCGACCCAACAGGCCTCCATCGCATCCATTCGATCGGGTCAATCGTGGCCTCCAGAAGACGCCAGTTATGCAAGTAGTAGCGATCTGGCTACAGTAGCTAAATTGCCTGCAGAACAAGTGCTAGAAGAAGATTGCGGGAGTCTGCAGCGATGCAGCGGCGGTGATCATTCTGCCGAGTGGAGGTGTTCATGCCTCCAATGTGCAGGGCAATAGGGCGAGCTGCATGATTTGATCGCCCACTGGAGGCCGGGCGACAAGTGAGTCCGATGTTTGTATGTTGTGTCGTGCCAGACTGGCAGAGAGGGTACGACGGAGCAGCAACATAGCTGCTGCTGCTGCTACCCAGCGTCGACAGCCTTCAAATGTGCAAAAAGAGACATCATGCAAAGCTACCGCCAACCGCCTGCCTGCGCAGTTCCCGCTTAGCGCGTCTTTCGTCGTCTCTCATATCGTATCGATGCATCCGTCGGATAGGCAAGGTACCCCTTCGCGCGGAATGACAGTGATTCTGATCCGGTGTGTACCGGTATCCCCCCTTTGCAGTAGCGGATGCTGAATCGCCAGTT